TTTATTTTCTTTCTTTCTTTTTCCTTCTCTCTCTCTCTACGAAGTAACTTCATCTTTGATTTACAGTCTGGCCTCTCTAGCTGTATAAATTCTATCCAGCACTATGGGACTTTACTATTTACTCAAAAAAAGAAAACTGTTAAAATACCAAGTGCAGAGCAATATGGCACCCTTAGCACAGACTTTTCCAGCTTGAGGAGCAAATGTCTGACCATGTAAATCAAGAGGCATGGCCTTTATCACCCAAAAGGAATGGAAGAGGCACTGGTAGGGGCCCACCTGATGTACTGTCAGAGTTGCAAGGGTGCTTGGGAATCACATTAACATTTTTGAGGACATGAGTCTGCCTCGGGCTTCTTATAAATACAGCTTGACTCAGCCACTGTGTGACTGAAACCCTTGGGACATGAAGTGGATACTGTTCTTTGGGGCCCTTATTGGGTCTGGCATCAGTGGCCGAGAAAAGTGTTTTGGGTAAGTTCTTTTTGGACTTGGTATTATTTTTACTTGGTTAGTTCAGAGAGATGGGAACAAAATGGATTTGGAAATGAATGGCTGATTATACCTCAAGCAGAATGGCATTAGGATAGAAGACCTGGTCTCCTGTCCCAGCTCTGCCTCTTTGTCATCTTGGACCAGTTCTCTCTCAGGCTCAGTTTTATCTGAGATATCAGGACTAAGTAGTCCCCACAGTCCCTCCCCAGCTCCCTAATCTCTTGCCAATTCTTTTCCTTCCTAGTTCTTATTTGTAAGGTCAGTTCGAGACATCTCCTGCTTTCTTACTCCTATATTATGAATTACTAAGAATTACCAGAAATTGTTTCTAATTTCTGCCACACTTAAGGGAAAGCCTGGGTCATAGGCTATTTGGCTTTACCTCTCTGTTAATGGTGAAGGTTTAGTGGAGCGGAGCTTTCTTGTCAGCATCTGGCACATGGAGATTTGATAGGTCTTTTCTAGCCACGGCTATGAAAATTGACATGCATGGATACACCTATACACATGCTCCACACAGAATGCTTTGGGGTTTGCAAAGGAGAGGACATTTGGAGGTGGGAGAGCTGAAAGTATGCCATGCTACTGTGCTAAAAGGTTGAATTCTAGTAACTCATTACTGCATAATGCTTTGCCATTTGCAAAGAGCTTTTATGTACATTATCTTTTGGATCACACAACAACTCTGCCAGGCAGGGGTGTTATTTTCCTCAATTTAAACATGAAAAAACTCAGCCTTAGAAAGGCTAAGGAATCTGCCCAAGGCCACTTAGCTGATAAGCAGGGGAATTGAAGCTCTAATGTAAAACCCATACACTTTTGCTGTAAAACATGTTAATCTCCAGGTAGAGTCCTATATCTCATTGATCTATCTATATCTGTTAGTTTACTCTCCATTATACTATCTGGCTAAAGGGACTTTGGGATTGTTTATTGAGATAATTACTTATATGTGATTGAGTAATTTTTATGGTGATGACTTCTGTTCACACCTGGTCTCTGCTGCCAAATATCTCAGAGGACTTAGGCATAGCAGGTGGTCAGGGAAGGAGAATTTTCCACAGGCAACTTAGCAATAGTTGTGTAATAACTACACTTGCTGCTGTGTGGGCTGATGCATGGAGCTGTCCGGCTCCCACTGTAGCTATTTACGTGGCTGAAAAATCTTTATTTCTCAAGATATAGACTTCTCTTATAATGTGGCTGACACCCGGGTTGAGACAGGTGGGCTGGACTCTGAAGTGCTCACCATAGGAGCTTGCACAGAAAGCACTATATACCTGAGCTAATTATAGATGGTTTTAACCAATTGTGTCATCCCTACTCCCACACCTGTTCTCACCTCATAATAGGGAGCCCAGCAAAGGTGGTGGAATTCCTCCGGAGGTCCATAGTCATGTCCTTGACACCCAGCTTGGTGAACATTTACAACAAGGGGAAGCTGGCCTTTGAGCATTCAAGTGGTTGGGAAGCCAGGATGCAGGTCGGCCTGGAGAGTGGGTACGGTGCTGACTGAGATGATGATGGTGGTTTCTCTGCCCCACCCCCAGTCCGTTCCTTCCACCTACTCACCTGCCTCCCCAGTCTCTCTCACTAGGCTGATGTCATCTGTCCCAGTCTTTACTCATCTTAAGGACGGGATGGTGGCCAGGATGCCTAAAGGTGCAGGACAAGCAGAGAACAAGAAGTAGTTGCAGAACTGGTTGTAGCCTCAGCAGCAACCAGTAGGCATTTAAGAGTTCTGTGACATCATCTTTTGTGGTACTTCTAAACCTGGCTGGGATGCAGGTGAGAAAGGTACAAAGAACAGGCACTTGGATGCCCGCATGGCAAAAGGGGGTGGGATAGGAGCTCAGCAACAAGATGACTATTGACTGTCTAGAACATGGGATGAACGTGAGAGTGAGTGAGAGCAGATCACCAGCCATTGTGTTGGGAAGCAGCTGGCCAGCCCTGGGTATTGGAGAGGACCAGAGTTAAGAAGAGCTGTAGGAACACCTACCTGTGTGGACTAGGAGGGGTGACATGGAAACCTACAAACCCTAGCATATCCTTCTTCCCAGGCCAATCTTCCATCTTCAGAAAGAGCTTAAATTAAGGTCTTTGAATGGATTTCCATATGGTAGAGATAGGTTGTGTTCAGTCACTCACACTCTTTGGAGGGCATTTTCCAAATAGAGACAAGGACAATGAGGGCAAGAGAAAGGCTGCCCTTCTCCCTGCACCTGTGTATGTTCTCTCTTCTAGGTGTTGATGGACTTACACTCATGAGAATAATGTTAGATCCCCCTCCTGCCACCCCCCAACTACTTTTAGCTTTATCTGAAAACTGTCTCTAACTTTGCCAACTCTGGTTGGAGAAAACCTCATGGGTGATGAAAGTTGGTCCTAAAGCCGGGGTGGGAGATTGGTTAGGCAGGTAAGGAAAAGGGCTGGACATCCAGTAGTGGGAACAGCATGTGCAAAGGCAAAGAAGGGTGAAGTCCATGGTGAATTTTGGGTTTGAGGCTGGAACCAAGAGTGTATAGGAGGGAGAGGTGAAGGAGAGACAGATGGGGTAAGACTCTGTTCTGCAGCAGCCCTTCCACCTTACCTCTCTGCACACTACAGATGTGTCTTTATCCTTTGGAGCTGGGCTAAATTAGGACATAATGAAATGGGCTGTGGGTTTAATCATTGTCAGGGCCAGTTAGACTCACTGTGTTCTGTTGTCATGGACTGTACCCAGGAGTATGAAAGTTCTGTTGTGAAGTTACCACTTTGGGAGAATTAAAACACATTCTGTGGGTGAATGTGTAATATGATTTTCATACTCTTAAGAGCTCCTTATTCTTAAGTTCCTCTTTGTTTCTCTTCCTGTTCCTGCTACCTCCTCTTTTCCTTTGTGATTACTCTAGTCAGTTCTGTATTTTACAGATACCTCATTTTTCAACAGAAATGTCAGTGCACAGGCACTTTCTAAAACACTCATTTTTAAAAATACACCCCTTTTTCTGGAGTATTGAGGGCAGGTTGTGACAGAGCTTGAGTCCTCGTAGTGGGTCCTGGTAGTCAGCCAAGGGGAAGGATTTCCCTTCTGTTCTAAACCAGTTCCTTTTTTGTAAGGCTGCTTGCCTGTATCAGGGAAATTGTGGTTTGACTCCCTGTCTTCCCAGGGCTACTGTCCAACTCTTAGCAAACCTGTTGGATCTAGACTGAGACCTGCCCAGCCAGTGGCTTCTCCCCTGTGGCCTCAGCAGCTCCCATGGAATGCAGTTAGATGCTCACCTCCTAGGACCCTCGGAGACCAGATTAGTTGGAAGAAAGTGAAGCTTTGGTACTGGCATTTCCTCCAGACCTGCCACCTGTAACAGAAGCAGCTCTAGAGTGGACCTTGCCTCCTTGGGGCTGGGCTAAACCCCTTGAGATCCTTTGAAGCTCCCAGAACAAAGTTAAACCCCGAGAGTCCAGAGTGAGCCGGTTTTCTGATGAGGAGATGCTGATCTGCCACGTGAGGCTGCACGTTTAGCTCCCTGTGACAGAACCATTTTCTCCGTCAACAGGTCCTTCAGCCCACAGCCCTCTCCAGCAGCTCTTCCCGCATTCATTTGTGTCAAAGGGATGACGCATGTGACAGCGTCGAGTGCGGATTCATTTGGGCCGTCACCTAGCAACGGCCTAATGGCTCCCCTGGCTTTCTGAGTCGGCTGAGAGCACAAAGGCAGCTTTTCAGGCTCGGCCTTCTCCCACCCACACACAGGACGTTGGGGGCCTCTACCCCTGCTGCTGCTGCAGGAGTTAAATGGTGTATAGGAAACAAGTGCAGGAGGAGCAGTACAGGGGGGCTCGGGACTGGCCGGCTCCCTTCTAGGCCCTATCAGGGCCCCCTTGAGGGGATGAATCCCAAGTTCAGCCCCAGCACCACGCATTGGTATAAGGTTCTGGAACTGGAAGGGGCTGAGAGAGCACCCAGCCTCTCCCCTCTTTGCCAAGAGGAAAAATAGCTAACCCTCCAAGGATGGAAGGTCTGTTCTCTTTTCTAGCTCTTTCCAGCACGGACATTCAGCCAGAGTTTCAGTCCTAGACCCTGACAGTGAAGAAGTGCTTCTTTATGCCTTGAGTTAGCTTTGCGTGTAACTCAGGAACATTCCTTTCTGCAAAATATATATGTTTTTCATTATAAAGTAATATGACCACATTACAGAAAACAGATACAAAGGGAAAAAAGTAAGTCATCCATAATCCCATGACCTGAACATAAGCACTGTCAGCATTTGCTATATTTCCGTTGTCTGTTTTTCTTCCAATGCATCTGCTTTTTCCATGCTTGCAATCATGGCATACATACAATTTTGTGTCCTGCTCTTTCACTTAATATTTCCCTTAAAGTTATACCATAAGCACTTTTTCATATTTGCCACGTAGTCTTATTTTTAATGGCTATACATTATAACCAAAGACTAGACCATTTCCTCTTATTTGGCCCGGTTATGTCTGGGATAGTAGGCCTGGGGTTTATTTGCCAGCTGAAAGCTCACCATTATCTTTTGCTTTTTTTTTTTTCCCTCCAGGGACCAAGTTTTCAGGATTAACGTCAGAAATGGAGATGAGATCAGCAAAATAAGTCAGCTAGTGAATTCAAACAACTTTAAGGTACCTAGTTCTCCTTAGTCCTCTTGGGTATCAGTTAACTTTGGTGAGAGAAGACTCTTGCAGAACTGGCATTGTTATTCCTGAAGAGTTTCTGTGTATGATTCTGTATTAGTCAACATGCCTTTACACTGCTGAGAGGTTGGTCCTGGAGAGTGCTGTAGATCCTGGCAGTGCTGCGAGGGAGATGGGAGGCCTCAGCAGTGGGCACCATCTTTCCATCTTTCTATCCATTGACTATTACTTTTTGGGTTTGGCCAAGTGTTGCCTGCTGGGCAGGCCTGACCAGATATGATTGTGAAGTGGCTGAAGTTTGTCCTTGGGCAGAAACCAGCCCCTCAGGGATCACCCAGGCTCTTTTCAGTTGTCCTAGAAGAATGAATTCATTGTGCCTTTTACCTGAACTGTCCTTTAACCTGGTTTTATTTCTTTTCTCTTCAGCTCAGCTTCTGGAAATCTCCCTCTGCTTTTGGTCATCCTGTGGATGTCCTCGTCCCTTCTGTCAGTCTTCAGCCAGTCAGAGCCTTCCTGAAGTCCCAGCTCTTAGAGTACTCAGTGACTATTGAAGACCTGCAGGTAGGCCCAGGTTCCTCACTGGTCTTGCATGGGACCAAGCAGCCAGAGTGGACCTTAGATGTTTTCAAGTTTTGGTCTTACCCTTCTGCATTTAACAGATTAAGACATGGAGGTATATGGAGGTAAAGTGTAGCAGCTTGTTCGAGGAACATGTTGTACTAGAACACGCATGTGTACGTTGATCCAGACAGATCTGGATCCAAATCCTGATTTTGCTAACTACTAGCTGTGTGACTTTGGATCATCTTTTAACCTCTTGAGACTCTGTTTCTTCATCAGTAAAATGGTAATAGTTGTATTTATATCATATGATTTATTGAGAAGATTAAGTGATTAAATTTACATAAAATATCTAGCAGTGCCTGGTATGTTATAGGTACCCCACAAGTATCTCTCTCTCTTTTCTTATTTGAAGTCAGGAGGGAATAAGAGAACGTGTGGTGGTTGGAAGGGGGTGGGGTGCCAGGGGGGAGATACTGAAGACCAATCATAAAAAGCATCCTTGGAGAAAGGGGGAATGTCACCAACAGCTCCCAGCAGAGGGAACATCATTTCCCATGCCAGACACCAGCCTCAAAACCTATATCTGAACAGCAGGACAGTGTCTGGCTCATGTTCTCTCCTTCACTGAGGTGGGTTATGGACTAATTGGTGATTTGGCCTGGGAGTTTCCTGATGGCGTGAGCAGCTGTGAGCTTATTAATCATCCTCACATGTCACAGACATCTGCCAGGAACCTTCAAAGTATGAGTGGTTATAAGAATTTCTTTGTTTCTGAATGGTTTCCCAAGCTGTGTATTTCAGAGGCACTGGATACCAGATGCAGACTGATGTCTAGAGAATTTGTAGTAAAAGAATAACCAAATAGCACATACATTGCTTCCAGTGAGTAAGTGGGTTTTGAATGGGGTGAAGTACATTGGGCTCTAAGAAGAAAGATTTTATAGATTTGTGGAAGAAGTCTGACCCCCTTTTATACCTTGACATTTGTGCTTCTTGATATGTGTGCCAAGGGTGCTGCCATCTTGGCCAGCCCATGTCCCAAAATGTGGTGGGAACAGCAGATCACTTCATAATGTTGCCGTGTCTGTTTTAGGCCCTTTTAGATAATGAAGAGAAAGAAAGGCAACACAATGAAGGTCAAGAACGGAACAGTAATAACTTCAACTATGGGGCCTACCATTCTCTGGAAGCTGTAAGTATTATAGAGCAGGTTAAGATCAAAGTCATTGGCCTCTTGGGTTTTGTAACCCGTATCCTTACTTCCAGGAGGTGTTAGTCCTTAGCATAGTACCCCTACAGTGAGGGGCTAAAATGTGTATACTTCAGTTCTTTTCTAATTCTTGGGTTGTTTATCTCCCACCAGCACTTAAGAGCATAGTGAAACACAAACTGAACATTTTCTCCCACGTGCATCCCTCTTTTCTTAAGCAACCCCTCAAAGAGAACCATGAAATAATTATAATCATTTACAGTCCTTGTAATTCAACCTTCTTGTACCCCACCATAATCCCTGTATTTTATTCACCCAGATTAAAATGTTACTTATTTCAGGCAACTAGACAAGTGATTATTTCCAAGGTTAACCAAATATTTCCACTCATTTATCATTACTACTTATATACTTACTCCATAATGCATTTTGGTGCTGTGTTTAGTTAGAAATCGCTTACATAGATGACTGACTTTCAAGGTAAGCCAACCCTTCAAATGAAAAACTTGAAGCAGAATAATTTAATATGGAATAGGAATTTGAGGCACCAAGAGGGACTGGAATGGAACTGCATCACGTACTACACGGTCTTTTTATGTCCCTCAATGTCTTCTTCCTTAGTCTGGAAACTCTACTAGCTCAGGAACACACCCCACATCTAAACTGGTATTCTCCTTCCTATAGCTGAATACATGCTCTTCTTTATATTCAAAGATAGAGTTCCTGGCATACTTTTCATGAGGCATATACTTTGAATTATTTTTCTTCTAGATGAGGGATTTTTTCAGAGCTTGACCAGCTATTTCCACTTATTTCCCAGGATTGTCAGTAGCTTTGTTTATTGTGTACACTTCCAACCGCATTGCCCCTTGATCCCGCTTGTGACCGATGACATACATCTGCAAACCAGCTGGAAGAAGTTAGGAGTTCAGTCCAGGGCCATGGACGAAAGCAGAGCTCAGGGCCCACACAGGGATCAACCCATGACATTAGCCTCATTAACATTGGGGTGCTCCCTAGCTGAGGCAACTAGTTGCAAATGTCACCCAACACTCTGGAAACTCCATCCCCTCCCCTGCCTGCTGTGGGAGTCTCACTTTCTCATCCACTCACTTTTGTTCTCTGGCTTTAGGTGCCATTGTCATTTGGCTTACGGCCATCTTTCATTCACTGCCTTTTGCTGTGGATTGGTGCACCATCTCCCTCCTGACTTGATCATACTCAGTTCTTTCTAAAAACAGCTTTTAAGAGCTCATCTCATACAACCACTTAGGCCTTCTTAGACCTCTAGAGGGATCATGTTTGTTTCTGCCAGGGTTTCTGGTTTCAGATCCTTTGTGTGTGTTGTTGTGGTAGCCATTATTTTTGTTAGTTTCGTGGGTGAGTTTCCCCCTGATGTTGGCAGTGTAAATTTGGACCCCCGTCTGGACACAGCTTGGTGTTTTAAATTTTCTTGGGTGACTTTCTTTCCTCTCTTGGTTCAGGGCAAGCATCTGGCTTTTGCTTGACTTTCTAGGGACGGTGGGTAGTTTCCAGGCTCTTTTCATGGCCAGAATGACCAGTGCCCAGCTCTCAGTTTCTAGCTCCTGGCCCTACTACACTGGGTCCAAAGCCGTCTACTCCAGTTCCTGGTTGCTGTAAACCCTCAGCACCTAAGACAGATATCTGGTGCTGGGACTTCATCTTCTGCCCTCGCCTCTGCTAGCTGGTTCCCTCTTCATTTCTGGCACTCACAATTTTTCCTTTTTTGGCTTTTAAATTTGGCTAGGAATCATTTTCATTGTGTTTTATCTGGCTTGCCTATATATTTGGGAGGTAGTTTTTGCTTCTACTTAATCTGCCATATTGGCTGCAAGTCTGACGAACCCTTTAAGCTTGATTTTATTCTATATTGATTGTACATTTTCCTTCTCTGTAAAGCTCCTTCTTTCAATTTTAAGCTCTAAATATAAATTTGTTTATTTCTTTTTTTTTGACCTTCAACTAAGTTGAACAACTAAGATGGATGAACTCTACTTAAATCTTTTTTTTTTCACTGAAAGCAAATGGAAGCATTCATAGTCATGATTTATACAGCTCTTCACTTGCTCTCTCAAAGCCTTAAGAGGGATCATCTCCAAAGTAGGGTACCCTTATGGCAGGATGTAAGCAAGATAGTCCCCTGGGATGGAGGAAGAAACTATTGCAACATCTATTTATATTTATACATATATTTGTATTTATTATTAATGTAACATTTTTGTTTCTATTTTTTATTTTATAATGTACATAATATAATTGTGTGGTATTATATATATTCATAGTGTATCCTGATTTTTTTTTTTTTTACTGATGGAGAAAGTGATCAAAAAAGATCACTGGAGAGCAGTGCTTTCAAGAACCTTGGCTAAATGGGCCCTTGCTGATTATCCAGCCTGTGGTGCAAAGGGCCACATTGTTGGAGCAGTATCTGTACAAGTCTCTCTACTCTAGTTTAATGGACTATAATTTTGTGGACAAAATGTGTTTTTCTCTAGAAAACTGTAATGGATTCTTTAGGCAGTTCCTTAAAAATAAGCATTCCATTCTGATAATATTGTCAACCTCAAGGTTAGAGGACTGGAAGAAATCATGAAAATCAATAAGACAAAGTTCACAGATACCCACCCGGAGCTGAGCAAATTTTTAAAACGCTCCTGTGTTTACTTTTTCACGCTTCAGATTTACCATGAGATGGACAGCATTGCCCAAGATTTTTCTGGCTTGGTGAGCAGGGTGAAGATTGGGCATTCATTTGAAAACCGGTCGATGTATGTACTGAAGGTGAGACCCCCATGCAATTTGAAGGGACTGACTGGTCTCAGGCTCCTGGCTCCTGTGTCCAGGACTCAGCTCTCACACCTCTGAAAGAAGCAGCTTTTTAGGACCTCGTTGACTTAGGGGAGGAGTGTGGTGGGGAGGTGTCTACCCGGGTTCGAGTGTGGTCTAACAGAGAGTCCCCTGCTTCTGCTGATTTGTGGGGAGTTAGAAGCAGCTCATCCCATTCCAAGTTTTGACTGAAAGGCAGGATCAAGAAGAGGGGAGAGGCAGTTAGTGTTCCAGAAAGCTCTCAAGTGGCTGTAGTCTTTTGCCTCCATTCCCATCTTCTGTTAATAGTAAGACAAATTGGAATGGGCAAATTCTATTCTGCTTTTTAGGGGTGCTTATTGGAAAAGCAATCTAGGAAGCTAATTTTAGGGTTGATGTAATTTTAAGCCCGGTCTATGATCCTTGGCTGCACAAAGCCTAATTTCCAGATATTTCTAACAGATTTCAGGTCTGTATTGGCAAAAGAGGTAGAGAATTTATGGCAGTGACATAAATTACATAAATAATCCAGCCAAATGAATAAAAAGGAATTTGGAGATACGAACCATGGAACAACTGATGGTGCCTAGAATTTGTCAAACCCTTAGCTCCACACAAGCCCTGAAGAACGCAGTTTTATACCAATGGTAAAATTACCAGTGGGAGAAGATGTTCCACTGAGCTGGTTGCTGTATGGTAATCTACATAACTTTAGATTATTTAGCAACTGATGGAGACCCTGGCTTCATTAACACGAAGCTCTGACCCAAGGAGGCCCCACACTGAATGGCAGCGGCCAGAATTCATTCCGTGCTGTTTACAAAGAGCTATAGTGAACCCCTCTGTTCCTCACTTTAAAATGGATTTCATTTATTGCATCAGCTAGAACAGGCTGGTTTATGCACTTTTGTCTCTCTGTTGGGATACCATTTGAGGTCTTTCAAGAGACATAATATTATCTCTAATCACACTGGCATTATAATTCACAATACCAATTGTTTCCCCTTCCCATTTGCTTCTAACCCTGGAGTGGCTCAAACTACCCAGAGCTGTGGCTGGGCCCACCAGCCAACCAATTAAGCTTGGAGAAGCCTGGTAAATAGATGGTGCCCTCAGGAACATTTAGTCTCTGAATGATCTTCAATGGATTAAATGAATAGGAACGAGCTGGGCAGAGGAGAGGTGAGAGGAGATGCTGGTGGGCAGGAGGGTCATTTTCTGGCCTCTTTTTCCTTCTACAGTTCAGTACTGGGAGAGGCAGTCAGCGGCCGGCCATTTGGCTGAACGCGGGCATCCATTCCCGGGAGTGGATCTCACAGGCCACAGCAATCTGGACTGCGAGAAAGGTTATGTCTCCTGGTATTAACTGAGAATTCTGGTGGGCCCGGGGTGCCCCTGCAGTGTCCCATGTGGCTGGGCTCACGGGATGAGGTGGGAGAGTACTCTGCATAGACACAGTAGGCTGGGGGTCTTTTCTGATCAGAGAAATAAAAGATCAGAGCCCTGTGGTTGGGCCACTGTGGCCAAATGCTAAAGTGCGTTCATGGCAGCAGGCAAGCTCATGAACTACAGAGGTGGCCCTGAGACACTGACCCATAGTCAGCCCTGCAGGAAGGGAACAGAGTCTTTCAGCATCAAAGCCCAGATAAGCTTTGCCTTCAGTCCCTTCCAGGTCCCTCAGGCCCTCGGGGACCTCATGCTATCTCCATGTCCCTCTGGAAAATCTTCTTTAAGCCAGTGCTGGGGGAGGAGGGGTGGTGCAAGTGGAGGATCCTACCCCTAGCATGGGGGCTCAGGTTCCTAATAACTGTTATGATGTATGGCTCTCCCCTCCCCTGTTCCCATCCCCTGGAAGGAATGAATAAACCAGGCAGCCCAGGACTCACTGAAGTTGGTGTTACCAGGCAGCCATGTTCCCCTAGGTTTTGAAGTGCTCTGGGGGCTTTGCAGAGAGCTGCACCTATGAGGGTGGTAGGGAGGCTGCAGAGGGTGGACATTGTTCTAGGAGGTGGGCATCTGGGGAGGACACACAGGCTTAGATCTGGCAACACATCCTGCAGTGGCAAAACTGACAAGCTTGTTGGCTCTGCTTAGATTGTAACTGATTATGGGAAGGATCCAGCCATCACGTCCATCTTGGAGAAAATGGATATTTTCTTGTTGCCTGTGGCCAATCCTGATGGATATGTTTACACACAAACTCAAGTGAGTGATACCAACTGAATGGGCTGGGCTTGGAGTTAAGACTTGTTTGTTGACTAAATAGTTGTATGACCTTGGAGAAAAGCTCCACAAAATGTGCTCCTTAGGAGCTTACTCGGGGTCTCATTTTCCAGTCATTCTCTAAGCTGAGAGTCACCAGGGAATATTTTTTCTTAGAGGAAATAGTCTAATGAACTCCCTATTATGAATCTTGAACAATTATCAACACTTTACCAATTTCTTCTTTTCATTTCTTTCCCTCCCACATATTTTTTTCCTGACGTATTTTAAAGCAAATCCTAGACATCAGATTATTTCATTCAAAACTTCTTTAATATTCATCTCTAGCTGGTGACAATTAAAATAACAAAAAATATACCCCTATCAGCTGTAAAAAATTAATGGTAGTTCTTTAATATCATGTGATATTCCCAGTTATCTTTAAAATGTCTTTTGAGTCAGTTTGTTGAAATCAGGATCCAAATAAGGTCTGTTACGCATTTGGTTGTTACGCCTCTGCCAGCTTTTTAATTCTACAACATTAACCCCTCCTCCTGCCCCCACATATCTTTTAAAATGTCATTCATTCATTGGAGAAACCAAGTAAATTGTCCTGTAGAATGTCTCACGTTCTGAATTTGCCTGATGGCTTCTTTGTTGTGTGCTGTTTAATTTATTCTGTCATCCCCCGTATTTCCTATTCACTTGTGGTCCAATCTAGATGCTTGGTTGGATTCAAGTTAATTTTTTAGGCAAGAATAAAATAGTTACTGTGCACTGTCTATCACATTAGTGATAACTGAGGCCCATAATATCTATTTGTCCCACTTTTACCAAAGCCCAAAATTATTCAGTGGATTCAGTGGTGTCATTGGGTCTTGCAGTTATGAAGTCCTCATCAGGGCATTTTGGGAAGTCTTTTTCTCCAGGTCAGAAGGGCCAAGCTTCCTCTCCCTGGGGGATGAGAGGAGACTCCTCACTTAGTGAGGGCTGAAGCCCCAGTGATCCTTCAGATCTCTGGAGTTGTTGCAGGCAGCTTGCCCCATCCACGGGGCCATCTCCATCACAGGCCCCCAAAGAAAGCCTCCAACTCTCCTGTACCCTGACCCATCTCTGAATGTTTGCTCCTTCCTTGGTGGATTTTTCAGGACCGATTATGGAGGAAGTCACGGTCTCTAAATCCTGGAAGCTCCTGCATTGGTACTGATCTAAATAGAAATTGGAATGTTAGTTTTGCAGGTATGTGGGGGAGATAGTTTTAAAATTCTGCTACCTCTGCATAGCCTGGTCCACAGGGCTCTGAGGTGGCAGTGAGGGAGGAGCTGGTTTCCAAGCTGGCTCCATTGCTGATTTCATTGAGAAACTTGGGTAAATCCCTTACCCTATGTTTTTGTTTTTGTTTTTGTAATTTTGAAAGGAAATCTCTGTCCTCCTGAGAGAATGCTATTTTTTTTTAAAGTTCTGCTTTAAATACATAAATCTATGGGCCTACTTTATACCCTGGTTATCATGGCTTCTGGACAAGTTACTGGGTGAGTGGAAGGGCAGCTCAGAATAGAGCAATTAGCACTATTACTCCAACAGGCAAGATCATATTGTGAAAATTAAACTGCAGCAGTTTACCCTTAGATGTATAAGTGTGAACTTCAGCCCTTTGATGTCATGGAAAGAGAATGAAAATTAGAAGACCTGGGTTCTGAGTTCCAGCTATTTAAAAATCATTCCCACAGTAGTGCCAACTATGTTCCAGGTACTTTCCCATATGTTATCTTATTTATTCTTCTGACCTAGAGAGTGAATATTCTTATCTGAAATGAGACAGTTGAAGCTCAGAGACAATCTCAAGAGCATATGGTTGATAAGAATTAGGATCTAAGCTCACTTTGCAATTCCAGATCCTGATAGTTCTCTTTCACTATTCCACAGCTGTACTGATATTTTGTTTTTAATGTACTGTTGTAATGTAATATTTAATGTAATGTTTTAATGTAATGGTTTTACTTCTCTTACTTGGAATGAAATACCACACAAACTATTGGGGGAAAAATAATGTGATTGTGGGAAAATAGCTGATATAAATGTGGGAATGGAGGGCATCAAGGTTAAGTCACAACAGGGGTGGTTTCACACACACATCAGATACCTTAGGGGGCTATACTGTGAAGTAAAACAGAAGGCAGTAATTCTAATACCTGTCAAATAATCAGGAAATTTTTAGCCACAACAATAGATTATTTTTGGCAGCACTTGGCCATTAATATCTGAACTAAGAGAATGAGTTGACACCAGTATAAATGGAGTCATTTTCATTATTAATTGGTATTCATATTAATTATCTAGAATACTTATTAATTACAACTCATTGTCGTGTGTGGTATTAATTATTTATGACAACTATTAGTGATACAATACAAGGTCATCTCTATCCATTTAAAGGAGTCCTACCAGTTTTCCTGCTTAGCCGTGGCAGATTCAACACCCTGACCTCCCACTTCCACACCCTTCCCACAAATACACACATGCGGACCAGGTTCTCGAGGGCAGCTGGCAGGGGCCTGCTCATACCTCCCGCCCCGCTTCTGGGTAGAGTATCCTGTATTTCTGCTTCTTAGCCTATGGGTTAATATTTCTGCTTGGGTCATCCCTACAGGAAAGGGAGCCAGTGACGACCCTTGCTCTGAAGCATACCATGGAACCCATGCCAATTCGGAAGTAGAGGTGAAATCAGTGGTAGATTTCATCCAAAAACACAGGAATTTCAAATGTTTCATTGACCTTCACAGCTACTCACAGCTGCTGATGTACCCATATGGGTACACGTTCAACAAGGCCCCGGATACTAAAGAGCTGGTAAGTTGTGGGCTTCTTCTCACTCAGCCCTGGGTCTACTTTTCACCTGGGTGCTGCCAAGGTGGTGGTTCTCTAGATTCATAGGGAAAGTCCAGGATCAGGGCTTGTTTCATTAAGGGCCCAGTCTTTTCTCCCTGTTCTTTGCGATGTGCCGTCAGGCTTACTGGGAACAGGAAGAAGATGATGCCTCTTATTTTTGTGTTTGCTGTGAGTTGCAAGAACCACACCTTGCAACCCCGTCTTTCCTTTTCACTTGTTTTTCTGACCAAAATGTATTGCAGAGGCACTTTTTGTGAAGAACTGTGGGTGACATTGTGGTGGGTAAGGGAGGGGTGCTCCTCACTCCAGGTAATGCAGAGTTTAAGTAGGGTGTAGACCACAGCCTAGGGGTGCTCTGTCTGTGTCACATACATTTACTCACCCCAGGATATGAGCAGGCATCACATCAGCAGCGGGACTTCCTGGCAGCTGCAAGGTGATTGTAGTCCCTGCTCTCTGTGCTGGTCTGCTTGAGTGTGCCCCTCTGTCCAAGGCCATGCCCTACCTAGGGCTTATGGCTTGGTGTGGACTAGATTCTGGTCTCAAGCAAATGCTCCGTGTAGGGTACATCCATATATGGCAGCCCCTACCTCCACTTTGGAAACACTCAACTCTTAGAAGATATTCTCTTGAACATGCTTGCCCTACCCTCATGTTCATGGACATGATATTCCCTTTCTACAAGATAGGTGAGGATGGCAGTGCCTTTACTAAATTCCTAATGGGCTGGCGAGCTTAAATACAGCTCCTCTAATTTGAGTTATTAATGCACATGATCTGATTCAGAGTGCTTATCTGGTCTTCCTCCTCTCTCCTTACCCTCTTCCCCACACTGGAAGTAAAGAACTGAGGATGTAGTAGGAGAAGGAATTGGAGGAACCATACCATTTCCCTCACTTTGTAGTCAGACCTTGGCTCTGGTTGGAAGGGAAAGAAGAGATCAAAATGGAACATTGGGGCTGGGTTCGGGAAGCTTCCAAACCACTGCAGGACTGAACAGCTGAGGAATGTCTGGCTTTGGGATCCATTCTCTCTCACTCCACTGACTTCCCTGCTCCTAGGATGAGGTGGCAAGGCGTGCGGCCAAAGCTCTGGCTTCGCTGTCGGGCACTGAGTATCGCGTGGGTCCTATCAGCACCACTATCTGTAAGTACTCACTGTGTTTATTGGTTATTAGAAACGCTTTGAGAGGACACTTGAAATGGAGCAGGAGAAGAGGTGCCAGTCAGCCTTCCTACATGTAGTCTGTTTCTGTTGTTAGTGATGGGCTGAATTTATATTAAGCCTGTGATGATAGCTGCCACAGGCCGTCATCTTCATCAGTGGTTATCACTCTTATGCTCATTATCATGGGCCCATGATGAGTTAAGTCTTGTCAGCATGGTAGAGTCTGTGTTCCTTGTCTTCCATGAAAGATCCTGACATGGTTTATCAAAAATTCCTCAAGCCCATCATTCCATCTTCAAAGGAAACCCACCTTTGGCTTGGCAGACTGAGGTGGTGGGATGGGGTGTAGAGGAGACCCCCTTACCTTCCTGTCAGAAATGAACACACATTGAACATAGCCAGTTGGGTTGGCAGGGGGCGTCCTCCAGATGATGGTCAGCATTAGCTGAAAAACAAAAACAAAAACAGACTTTACCAGGACCCCAAACATGAACATGGTCTTGAGGCTCATTACCCACAACTCAACCACAATTTGAGGAAATACCCTTATTGTGGTTTCTCAGTGAAGTGTTTCATTTGAGCATTTCACTCTATTTCTTTCGAGATCCTTCCAGTTCCCTTATTCTGTGAGTTTGATCTATAAATTTTAAGATCAAATTGAAGGATATGATTATTCTCCAAGACCCCAGCTATAAGTGGGAAGTAGAAACACAAATGTGGGGAGCATAAAGTGAGTTCCCTTCTTTCCCCCTCTGGTGCTTTCTCTATAAGTAGTTTCCATCAATTGGTCCACCCTCAAAGCCCCTAAAAACTTGCTGGTATTTCTCTCCTTTCCTATACTGAACTTGCTCTCCCATCCTACCTGCTTCGCCCTCAACTAGCTGTTCCCTTCAATCTTCCTTTTCTGCAAAGATTCTCCATCCCACCTCTTGGCTCCTCCTCTGTACTCTAATCTCAGCACTCTTGTCTGTGTTTCATATTCCACCAAGCTGCATAAAGCACTTAGCATGATATTGGTGTTTGTGTTGCTAATTGCAACAACAACCCATTAATTATTCATGGTAATACTAGTGTTGTTGAATGGGAACTCCTTAGAGAACAAACACATCAGGAGAGGATCTCCACTCTCTGTTTAATTAGTCAGATTGAATCCTGGACCAAAGAGAGCTAAAGGAATTTGGTAGGAGCCCCCTGAGGAAGTCCTCTCAGAAGATCTTTGAGTGTCACCAGGCCCTGACTTTTGGGTCAGACACCAATTTAAAGAATAATCTTTTCCACACACATCAAAAACATTCCTCTCCCCAGCATGGACTGTGCCAAAATGATGAGATACCCATTAGATGAGATATCCATTAGATTCCTCCAACAGAAGAGGAGGAAGGCTCTCCTGAGTGATGTCCGGGAGATATAATATTTCCTACCTCCTTTGAGAGCCCATTTTCTGTATTTTTTAATAGGCTTTTTCTGCTCTCCTTTCTTTCCAAAAATGAAATCAATGTTTGTATAAAAACACTCCAACTCCCTGGGTTATGGTATGTGCTGTATAGGTAGTTGACATTTATCCCTTCAAGCACTGGAGCTTTTCTTAGATTAATCATTTTAGATGAAAATAATTCTAAAATGGATTTTCATACTTTCCTGCCTCCTTAAACAGAGCACGTAGAAGAGATTTGAGCTCCTTTCTTCATGACTGAGTGGCCTTCTGAACATCAGTTGTTGTATCTCGAAGGCCTTCCTTGATGTATCAGACTGTTCGATCCTTATGCTCAACAGCCCAGCCTGTTTTGCTTTTTTAATTCTCGTGTCTGCTTTTTACAGTTTTCATGTCTCCTTCCTCAGGCCACCTGCCTCTAGCAACCCTCTCCCCTCCTCCTCATTGATTCTGATCTACTAAGGGCTTGGAAACAAGTTTTTTGGGCTCGTTTGGCTTGTGGCTAGATGTTGAGTATTAAGGACGTTCATGATAGCATGTCTATCGTCACAAAAGACTGGTAAGCACCTAAATGTAAATGTTCATCGGTAGAGTGCTGGGTAAAAACACATTTGGTGCATTTATACAGTATGCAACCCTTAAGTGAATGAGGTGAATCTGTATGTGCTAGTAAGGGAAAATCTTCAGATGTTAATTGAAAAATACAGTGTGCCAAGCAGTGTTAATAGTATACTCCTATATGTGTTTTGAAAAAAAAAGAGTAGGTAGACTTAGCAGGAACCCAAGTAAAGTGAAGTTCATGGATCTGATCGATTTGCTCAGCAGAGGTTATCTTGCCTCTTTCCTGAATTTAAAATCCGTTCTGAAATATTTGAGCTTGCCATGTAAATAACTTCTAGAAACTTTTGGTGCCATTGTCTGTTTTTTACACAGTATTTTCTCTGTGTGGAGAAAGGCTGTGGGAACTACAGAAGGATTTCAGAGAGTGTAGGAGAGCCTGTTTCATAACCTTAGGGAGCGTGTAATTGCAGCAGAAGCAGCATTTCTAGAAAATCACAAATGATATCATGAGAAACAACCCTCAGGGACAGTGGAAAAACAAAAGGGCCCATATTTTCACTGAATAGACATATATATATGTTACATACTAAATAGACTAGAAGTAGGTTGAATAAAACAGGGACTTTGTTATCAGATGGACCAGCCCTGCCATTTTCCATCCATATTTTCTTAAATTATTCATTCTGAGACTGGATTTCCTCATCTGAACAGCAAGGCAGATAATACCTTCCTCACTGGTTTCTTAAAGATTAAATGAACTGATAAATGTAAACTTTCTAGCATAATGACTGACTCATAGTAGATTTCAATAAATGGTAGCTGCTATTGACATCATTATTTTATTATTCAATATCATCTACTCTTTGCACTTTCGGCCAATTTCTGCTCTAGTGGAGTTTGACTGGGAAGAAGCAGGGAAACAAGCCTCTTGCCCTTCCTCAGCCTTTTGGCAAAGGGAAGTCCCAAGGTCTGTGCTTCTTTCTCTCTCTGTGTGTCAGTTATCTCTTGTGATGTAAAAAGTTACCCTAGACTTCAACAGCTTAAAACAATAAACATTAATTTTCTTACACAATTTCTGTGGGTCAGGACCTCCAGAGCATCTTAGCTGGGTGGCTCTGGCTCAGGGGCTCTCAGGAGGTTGCAGTCCAGGTGTCTTCCAGGGGGACAGTCATCTAACGGCTTGATGGGGCTGGAGGATCTGCTTCTCAGGGGGTTTACACGGGTGCCTGGCAGGTGATTATTGACAGTGAGTTCTTCACCACATAGACCTCTTTATAGGGCTGTTTGAGTGTCCTTACAATATGACAGCTGCCTCTCCCCAGAGCGAATGATCCGAGAAAGAGCAAGGCAAAACCCATGGATTTATGACCTAGCCTTGAAGGGCACACACCTTCATTTCTGCAGTCTCCTGTAACACAGGTCAGGTCAGCCTTGTCCAGTGTAGGAGGGCATTACACAAGGGTGTGAATACCAGGAGACAAGGATCATTGTGGCTATCCTGGAGGCTGCCTACCACACTCTGTCAAGATTGGTTTTGAGTGACCTGAAGGAGTCTACACAGTGAGTTTGGTGACAAGATGGAAATGAGCATTTAAAATCTCTTGGTTTGAGACTAGTGGAGACCCTCATGGTGCAGGACAGTCTGAGACATAATTCAGGCCAGTGTTTAATGTGTTGTAGTCCTGATGACTTTCAGATCCCTAAGGAGCCACAGATCCACAGAATTCCTGGCCCCTTCCCTTCTATTTCTGAAAGGAACTAGGCTTCAAAGGTGTTTTCTCTTTTGACTTAACAGATCCAGCTAGCGGGAGCAGCACTGACTGGGCATATGATAATGGCATCAAGTATGCATTTGCTTTTGAGTTGAGAGATACTAGGCACTATGGCTTCCTTCTGCCAGCCAACCAGATCATCCCCACTGCAGAGGAGACCTGGCTGGGGATGAAGACCATCATGGAGCATGTGCGGGACCACCTCTACTAGATGAGGAGCCCCGCTCTTTCTACATCTACTTATCCCCATTACACACACATATTAAGCCCACTATAAAGGACTCTTGTTCTTTCACATGTGAGTCAGAGCCTTCTGGCTTTGTAGAGAACAAAGGCCAGCCCCTTTCTAGCCCCCTCCTTGAAGTTTATGCATTCTTGTGGTGCTCTGGGAGAAGTGCTTCTGTCACCCTGCTATCTTTTGGTCCTGCTGTTTTGCTGAACACTTTGTATGCCTCTCCTTCCACACAGCCAGTTGGGCAAGCCACATGTAGGATCACTCCTTACTGGGTGGCATGTCTCTACCTCATTTTTAGAACAAAAGGACATCTGAAATATTTCTCTAGCTTCATCCAATCTAGCCACGCCTGTGACTTTGCTCTGGTGGGGGTCCCATGGGAAGTGCTGTGGAAGATAAAGCTTGTTTTTTAGATTGGTCTCAAAGATGACACCGAACTTCCTTTAATTTATCTCACTCTTTCTTGAAAATATTTTTCTTTGGAAAATAAATCCCATAGGGTCATCAGTATAGGTCATCCCCCTCCCCCATTTTTTTCTTTGTTTTTGGTCAGAATACAAAGTAGAGGATCACTTCTTATCACTGGGCCAAAAATTCCCAGATACTACATCTCTGATCATATTCTTCCCTTTATTATTCAGTGTAATTGGGATCCCAGAAGGAGATCTGTGTCACTGTGGGTACTGCCCACTCAGAAACCCTAGATGAAGTGCTGATCTGATAGCAGGATTGCTAAATTATCCCCATCTGTCCTAATGGGCTCACCTCCACTTTGTCTTTTGAACTTGCTTCAGATATCTTCCTCTCACCCTGCTGGTCCTAAATCACTCCTCTGGCCTGGATAATCTCACTGCCCTGGCACATTCCTGTTTGTTCTCTTGTGTCCCTTGTGTTTCCTTCTGGTTTTTGTTTTTTGTGTTTTCTGTTTTTGGTCCTTAAAGTTGCTGTTTTCTATTTTGCATCCTGGACCATGAATACCAAAGTGGATCAAGGATTTATCAGTTAGATGCCTCTTTAGGCGCCACTTTCTCCATTCCTCCTCAGTGTGTACCATCTGCACCACCCCCCTTTTTTCCAGTTTGCTTTTTTCAAGCATGTCTGTAAATCTTGTCCTTCTGCCTAGGATTTGTGCAGCATCTGGTGTGTGCTCATAAACCAATAAATATTCAGACTGAGTCTCCTGATCATCTCCTGTTCTTTGCCTTCACCTGAATGGAACCAAGCCATGGTTTTGAATATGCAGCTCTTTATAATGTCAAAAGTCAATTTTAATCCCTGTCCATATCACATGACATATAAGAAGGCCTTCTCCATCAGGCCTCCGGGCCTCCAGGGTAATGTTACCTTGGTGATTTCTCTCAGGTCCTAGGTCTAGTTCTTAGTTTTTCAGCTCAGAAGCTTGATATTCTCTGTGTCCATATTGATTAGGCTTGGGGATGCTGACTCACGCCTATAGAGCTCAGATGAGGCAGATGATAAAATCAGAATACAAATTTATTAATTTACATCATGGCATGTAACTGTTTAGTGGATTGGATCCTCACGTTGGCCTGAACAGTACATTCTCTCCCTGTAGGCAAAGATACATGGGAAGCCAAATTATAATCAGAAGGTTGTTTAGTGAGCGGGGCGTCGGAGCAAGGAAAGTTAATTACAGTCTATGATTAGAATTTTTAATGGTATCCAGCTCTAATAGCGTGATACATCCAATTCTGTAACAAGAACACACCTGCCAGTCAGCCAGCTGGTCGCTTGTGCTGGCTAGTCAGGGCTGTCTCAGACCAGACACTGTCTCAGTAGGCATGACAATGCTTGCCTCCGTGACTTGCCTGTAACCTGGCTCTATTGGTGGAACCCCCTACCCCCAAGATTGAGAATGTCCTTTAGATTCCTTGAGAAAGAGCTCTTAAACAAGACCTAAAAAGCCATAAAAGAATACCTGTGACTATAATAAAATTAAGTTTTAATGTGTATGACTATAATCAAATTAAGATCTCTTCATTAAAAGACGCCATAAAGAAATAGAGAAAACAAGATATAAACTAGGAGAAGATATTCACAATATTCATAATACACTCAACAGACAAAGGACATACAAAGAACTACAGATCAGTAAGAAAAAGCACAAATAATCTGATAGGAAAATGGACACAAGATATGAGCAAGCATTTCACTTAAGAGGTAATAGGTATTCTGATAAACATAGGAAAAGATGATTACTGATGGAAGACACACACACATCAAGACCACAGTGAGATGCCATTTCATATTCATCCAGTTTACAGAAATTAAAAAGTTGGAGAGGAGGTGGATGATAGGCTCTCTTATTGGTGGGTGTGTGAATTAGTAAAACGATGTTGGAAAACAGTTTGGCATTATCCTCTGAAGTTCACACTAAAGTTTATGATCCAGCTATTCCACCCCAGGCATAAATCCGAGAAATTCTTGCAGTATACAACAGGAGACATATATGAGAATGTTCACAGCAACACTGTAATAACAAAAACCTAAAAACAACTTAAAAGTTCACCAGTGGGAGAATGAGTGAGTAAAGTATGGTGTTTTTACATACTGAAATATTATACAACAAAACAAGATTTCGTGTGATTTTTTTTCTAGAAAGTTCCAAATAACTGGAAAAACATATGAGATATACACACACGCACACGTACAAACACTTACAGGGAAGACACCAAATTTGGTAAAGCTTTAAAAAAAGGGAAGCAATAATGAAATAAGTCAGGCAGAGAATGACAAATACTGTATACTTTAACTTAAATGTGGAATCAAAAAAGTAAAACAAACTGGTAAATATAACAAAAAGGAACAGACTCACAGACACAGAGAACAAACTAGTGGTTACCAGTGGGGAGAGGGAAAGGGGGTAGGGGATTAAGCAGTACAAACTATTATGTATAAAATAAATAAGCTACAAGGATATATTGTACAACACAAGGAAGATAGCCAATATTTTATAATAACTATAAATGGAGTATAATCTTTAAAAATTGTGACTCACTGTGTTATACACCTGTAACTTAAATAATATTGCAAATCAGCTATACCTCAATAGACAAGGGGAGCAGGGATAAGGGAAGCAAGATATAGTAGACATGTGCAGACCTTTTTTCCTGGTCAAGAGCACTCATCCCCAGCTGCTATGAGTGTTGGCTGTCAACCAATCTAAAGCCCCATCCTTCTCTGAGAATTGCCTTTAGCCAAACAGGGGCTGCCTCACCCAGGAAGCTATGCACCTGCCTTCTCTTTATTACCTCCCCAAATGTTACCCGATGACTGCCTGACTTGGAGGTACAAACAGCTAGCCTTTTGCTTCAAGGTAGAGTCAATGCTGTGGTGCAGTGTATGCTCCAGAACTTTGAATCCAGTCTCCAGTAAATTATACATCCTTGCTTAGCTTTTCCCCCCATCCCGCCCTGCTTCCCAGACTCCCCTTCTGCTGAGAATTCCCTCAGTAAATCACCTAAGCAAGAATCCCATCTTAGGCTCTGCTTCTAGGGAAACGAAGAACCTGGGCTTCTGAGTGATGATTACCTTAGATGGGGAGAGGCTAGGGGATGAGATAAGAATCAGGGCCCTATAGTGAGATGAAGGACCTTAGTTTTGTTTTAGGGTCTGGGTTTTTTTTTTTTTTGGATATTTATTACCTGATTTTAATAAGTCTAATTCAACAGCTAAATAAATAACAAAAGAAGGCCATGTAAGGATCAATGATGAGCGTGCCATTAACCAAGAATTACAATTAATCTATTTCTGTGGTCCTGAAATCCAATTTTAAAAGTGTTTACAAAGATACAGATTTTTTTTTTAAAAAGGTTTTACTATTCAGCATGCATTTATTGAGAGTCTAATGTGTGCCATGAACAGCTTTAGATACTGGCAATGCAATGGCAAACAAGAAGAAAAAAATCCCTTCTTGCATGGAATTTCATTGTAGTTGGAAAGACAGGAAATGAGTAAACAATCAAAATTTTTAATTTGGGTAATGAGAGCTGCTATAAAAAAACAAAAACCTGGCCGCTGTCAGGAGAGTGATGGGTGGTGGTGGGGCCTCTGGATTGGGAATGTTAGAGGAGATGGCTTGTATTATAAAATTAGTCTTACCTCTCTTCTTTGTATTCTGTTTGTACTCCCCAAAACGACGTGGAAAATGTGGGCTGAATGTTATTATCCACATTTTACAGGTGGCAAATCTCAAGACTAGTAGGTTTCTTGCTCAAGACAAATAATGTCTTCTGTAAGTGAAGACCCCACTGAAAAAGAGAAAATCTGAGTCGTAAACATTCATGAACACAACTTAAATGTCTGAAACACATTTCAGTTTGAAAGGCTCTCATACCTCATCAAACTAGTTTCCATGGAATTTTCCATTATTAAGAACACCAGAGGATGGAAAAGGGACAGTCCACTGATAATAGAAAAATGTATTTTGAGTTTTCTTCTTTGTGGTACTGGGCAGGGGGTTTGCTGAGCCATTTCCTGGTCTTATACCCAATCCTTTTAGGGACCAAAAGAAGACCTTTCGTGAAGTAGCTGATAGGGTGAGGGATACGGTCCATGACTCTGGATGGGATTAGCTGTCATCAGTGTGTTGCCCACTTGAAACCAGAGCCACTTGTTGAACTAAGGCCACCTGGGGACTGAAAGACAGACCACATCCACTTCTGTCTGGGTTACAAATAGTGAGGAGCAACAAAATAGCCCACCTTCTTCACTTAGCCATGTGACCTTGAGCCGTGATGTAACCTCTGGGAGCCCCAGTTTCATCATCTTTAAAATGAGAATAATGATCATATTTACAATAGCTTATCAAGAGAATTCAGTAAACTAATTATTAAAGTACTCAGCACCTTACCTGGCAGAAGTACTCATTATGTATTAGCTTGAATTATTATTCTCACCAAGTGGTGAAAATTCATTTATGAGTGAGAACATTGGCATTTTCCCTTAATAGAAGCCTTATTTTCTTTAGACTCAAGACAATGACAAAGACCTAAACAGTTCACAGAAAAGCACTAGTTGAATGCTGTCATTTTTAATATTGAGATTCTTTCTCTAGGAACTTTCCCATGTTAAACAGATATTGATGCCCTTTTATTTGACTAATGGAAGGAACATTGCCTGAAACCATCACAGGTCCAGCTTCCAAACACAACTACATCAAGTATATAGGGTCACCTTTGATTTTTACAGGTGCTGGGAAGGCCCTGCCTGCCATAGGTCTATTTTGGGTGAAGTTGAGGGTATGTTCCAGCTTTGGAATGTTCTATATAGACTGCACTTCTTTTATATCACTATCTTAAGACCAACTCTGAAGAACCATTTTTATCATTATCATCATCATCCTTATCTTTCTATTTGATGAATTCTGGAATTTTGCCAAACCAGCCAGCTTGTAAAATAAATTCTCTCTACTATTTGCATTGAGCCTTAAATCATGAACACCAGCTGTTTCTTATATTTGAAGTAAAGCTCCAGGTGTATTGGGGGCATCCAGAGAGCACAGGCAGTTTTTTCCTTTTCTAGAATATGTGGGTACCGTGGTGCTGCTGGGCAATTTACTCCTTTAATGCAGAAAGTGAATTTCATAGTTTTTTGTATCTCCTACAAGGCTGAGCTCAGCAGCTAGTAAATATTTGTTGATTTGACTTGCTGCAGGGCAGCAAGTTAATGATCACAAAAGCCATACTCCCAACAAGTTAGGGCAGCAGAAAAAGAGTACTTTTCCAACAAATATTATCAGTGGAATTCTGGAAAATAGATTGGAATGTATGTCCCAAAGTTCTAAGAGAAACAGAGTATAAATTAGACCTTCAGAGATAAGCAAGACTTGATATTGGTTAAATTGCTTACATTTTTGTAATGATTTACAGTTTTAAAATGCTTTTTCAGATATTGGATAATTAAATTATCACAACCACCTGGGGATATGTGCAGGATGGGTATTATTATCCCTGTTTAACTGATGAGGAGTCAAAAAATTAAAGAAGTGAAGTAACATGTCCAAACGTAGATAAATGGAAGAGGTGAAGTAGAGTCTCAACGCCAGCTCTACAGATTATTTCTGAGAAGGCAATTTGAATGCGTTTAAAGTGCAGAGTTCCTCCAGTCCCTTTGGTCTCACAGCCTGGCCCCTGAAACCTTTGAGTTT